ATGTTGGCCAGGCTGGTCTCCAACTCCTGACCTCAGGTAATCCACCCACCTCGGCCTCCCAAAGTGACAGGATTACAGGTGTCAGCCACTGAACCCAGCCACAATTCTTAGAATTATAAACTGGTAAATCCCATTAGTTTTACGGAGGAAGACACTAAGGCTCAGCATGCTAAAGCGACCTGCAGTTGGCAGTAACAGGGCTGTTTACCAGGCTTCAGGTAAACAGGGCTGTTTACCAGGCTTCTCTTTGACTCCTGAACCAGGGTTTTGGGGCATTAATGTGTAGCCCTCCATATAAAATGCTTGACTAACTTTTAGGTCTTGAAAAACAAATAACAAATACAGTGCTTAGCAGTATGTCTCACACAATGTAGGAGTCTGTAACATGTTTAATTCACTCTTTTTTCATCCCAAGTTTAATCTTCTAACATCTGAAGAAAGATACTGACACTAAATCCCAGAATGTCCAAAAGGCAAGATGGCACCAGATTGTAAAAGAAAACAGACAAACTTTTTTTTTGTATTTTTCATTGAAGGAGGATAGAGTACCTGAATATGCTTAGCATCTAGAGGAAGAGACTTCTTTCTCTTTGTGCATTCTAGAAATGTAGATCTTAGATGCTATTATCAGGGCTTGACGATGTTTCTAACTTTCAGTGATTAATATACCTATCAATTTGAAATTCAAGAGGCAAAAGAAGTACACAAAATAATTATATGTAGTATTTAATGAAGTACAGAGATAGATACAAAGATGTAACCAGAAAACCTTCTATGCTACACTAAAACCACAGTAAACTTTCAAACAATTTCACCATTTCTCTTTCTCTCATAGATGCATGCATGCATGTATACACATGTACACACACAATCACATCACAGTATTTAAACCAGCCTATGAGGCCCTGAAATATCTGGCCTCACGCACACCCCTGCATCTTTGTTAGAGCCTCACTCTTCTCAGCTCTCAGCCAGATGCGTCCTCTTTCCTTTTCTCAAACTCACAGGTCTCTCTTCTGCTTTGGGGCCTTCACACCGGCATTCCCTGTGCCTGAAAAGTTCTTCTTTACTCCCTCTAACTACACCTCTGCCTTGGCCTCTCCACCTGTTAACAGACTGATTTATCCTTCAGACTCTGCTTAAATTTTTTTCTCAAAGAAGCCTTCCCTAACAACCCTTTACTAGCCTCTTTGCCCTCCCTCCTTCCCCGTCACACACAATGGAACATGCTTCTAATCACTTATCCAATAAATATCTTTCTTCCCCACCAGACTGTAGGCTCAAGAAGGGCATGGGCTTTGTTCAACATTGCTTCCCCTGTGCCTACCACAGTGCCCAACACATAGTAGATACTGAATGAAATTAACATTTCCTAAGGATTCAAAAGATCAAGTGATGATAAACTGATTTCCTAACTTCACTCAAATTTTACACAAGACATCCCATGCTGTCAGCATGACAAATACACAAACCACACAGAGGCATGGGTTATGTACTACTTTTGGAGAAAAATTCAGAATGAACAAAAAGTTGATTATATGTATTTTAAAGTCACTATGTGCAAACCTACAAGAAAAAAATAGTTACTTTTAAAATAAGCTTCAGAAAAAGAAACTTGTTACTAATACAACATGCTTATTTGGGAAGACGAAGGAGAAAAGTGAAGGGTGGAGGAAACAAGAATGCATGCAATTCTCCTAGGCTATTACCATTTCTTTCCCAAGTAAATTTATCTCCTAAAAGAAGAGAATGTGCCGAACCATAATTCTAAGTTTATCTGGAAAAGTACCCACTGGTGTGATGGGCTTCTATGAACAGTATGCCCACAAGGACAGGGCACGTAGGTTAAAGGAACAAGCAGCATCATGTAAAGACAGCTTTCTCTGGCAATGGCTCCAGTGCCCTCTTCTTTAGGGTTTCCACCCTAGCACCACTCACAGCATATAACTTCTCTTACTTTGGGAAGAAAAAAGTAGACTCTTTTCCAACAGAACAGACAGCAATCACATGATCAAGATTCGAAAAGATCCTAACAGAGAGTTCTGCTTTATTGAAGTATACACAAGAACAGTCAGAAACAACAGCAAAAGCATTTCACTACCAGGAAATAGTGCTGTATCAAGAGACTAAACTTTCCATACAGAAAGGAGAAGGAAAAGATGGGAAAAAATCCCCACAAAACAACAAAAAAAGTCACGGATGGGGTAGAATGGGAAAAAAAGAATAGTGTTGTAGATGAAAGAAAAAAAGGTAAAAAGTAAAAGTGTGTAATGGAAAGGAGTTAAAGACTAGCAACTAAATTTTATTCAAGTATATGCAGCTGAGAGCTGAGAGAGACCTCAAAAGGAAAACTGCCCAGTCGAGCCTCCTCCCCTTAGGTTAGCAGTGTTGATCAGCCTCTGGCATTCACCAAACCAAAGGCTAGCTTTGAGTTATCTACATCTAAACTAATTATGGACATCACTGAAGGTCCTTGAAGCAAAAAGAAAAAAAAAAAAAAAAACCTCTTCTCATTTAGTCTCCACCAATGATTACAGAAAAAATAAACAGGAGAACTCACTGCTAATTATACGAGGCAAAGGCAAAAGATTCTGGGTACGCCTAAGAGGGGCACCTTTGGCTGTGCTGTGTGACCTCCTCGAAGTACTATGCCAACTGAACCTCCCACACACAGCCATTCTTAAAACACTCCGTATATTACCATACTACAACCTTTAAAACCTATCCCACAAAAGAAAGGAAAACATCTGTCACCCACTCTAAGAGATACTGGGAACATTTCTGCTTTCAAACACACTGCCTTTAAAACTTTAAAAACCTAATCCATTTTCTATAAAAAGTTTACTTCCAAAAAAGTGGCTAACACAGTTTCCAGCAAATAGTAGGCGTTTATTAAATACTAGTTGCACACACGAAAAAAAAGATCGTTCTGAAAAATCTTCACAGCTGTAGAACAGTTATAACCTTCTCAAGATATGAAGCCTTTACCTCCACAAACTAGAAAAGGGGCGGGTACCATTTTAAAGCCAATCTGTAAGGCAGGGCAAGACAGCTGCAAATATTCGCATTCATTTAACGGTAATTTCTGAGTCTGTAAAACAAAAGGAAATGCTCTGCGAGAAAATAAAAACCTTGTGCAGACTTTGGAGCTTTGAAACTGTGGAGCTGCACTCTGACACCTTGGTGTGCACGCAGATGACTCTGAAGGTGACAAAGGGGAAGTGTTTGCACTGGGGACTTTGATAAAGGATCTTTCCCCTGTGGAATTCCAGGTTACTACAGGGATTCTTTTGAAACCTTCCAACCTAGCTGCGAGTCAAGAGAGTCCGGTTCCTTCCCCAGAATGCAAGAGACTCCCAGAGGACCCCACAGCGGAGCGTCTGCGCCTTCCTCCAGCTGACATGGAGAGCACCGTGCCTTTCAAGTCACCCCAAATCTCAAGTCTTTGTAGCCTCCCTGAAGTGAAAGGGCAGCCACTGCTCTCACCCAGCCCCAAGAGAGGGCCGTGTCGTCCAGCACGGTGACAAGGTCCAGTGAGAGAACTGCTTTGAAAAATACTTCGACTCCACGCTGGCCTCAGGAAGGGCCATGACCCCAAGCCCCAGGACGGATCCAGACATCGCCCTCCGGCCGGGCAGACAAAGGACAGGCCCCCCGCGCACCCCCGGCCCGACGCGGCCACTCACCGCTCAGATAGTTGGTCCATTTGTACAGCACCCCCTCCATGGCGCCCGCGGCCCCTCGGCCCACGCCCGCCGGCCCCTTCACTGCCCCAGGACCCAGGAGGCGAAGAGCACCGGCCCCAGGGCCATCGCCTGGCGCGGCCCAGACGCCCACTCCCGGCGCCAGGGCCCGGTGTGGGGACGCCCGGCCCGCCTCACATCCTCGGCCCGGGGGCGGGGTCACTGCGGCGGCCTCGGTGCGAGAAGCCCAGCTAGGCGGTGAGCCGACGCGGCGAAACCGGACACGCTGTTCACAATGAGACCAGGACCCGCGCCCTACGTGGGCTGGAGGGGCGGCCGAAACCTCCGAAGTACGGCGAACGAGGCAGGAGGCGCCACGGCGCGCTACCTGAACCCTCCACCCGCCGGGCCCGGGACGCGCTCGCGCATGCCCGGTGCGCCGCTCGCGCGCCCCTTCCCAAAATCCACTCCGGGATTTCGCGGCTGCGGCGGCTGCGGGGCCGACTTTGCCGGAAAGGCCCGCAGGGAAATTGAGTCCCGGGACGCGGACTTGGGAGTGGGCGATCAGAGGAGGGAGGCCCCTGAGACACTTGTAGGGCAGTGCTGACTGTAAATCGTGCCCGACCTTTGGGGTGGTGTCTACGTAACCTCTCACAATACTCCTTGGACTCTAGTCCCTATTCTTGTTCCAGAGCTGCTAATTGATCTCACGCACTTCAGGTAGCCAATAATAGGGCGTAAAGAGATAATTGGAATTTCAGGGTGGAGTACTTTGAGGCCGGTGTAAACAGGCGTTGTCCAGACTCTAAGATCTCGGTACTGGAAGTGTTGGTCCACTTACCCAGAGCATTGACATCACCTAAGAGCTTGTTAGAAATGCAGAATCTTGCACCCACTCCAGACCTCCAGAATCAAAATCTGCATTTTAAGCAAGAACTCCAGGGGGATCCCTATGTACACAGAGTGCCAAAATGCACTGTGCTAAGAATATTTGACCAGGAAAAATGTTAACTACAGATTAAGTGGAAAGAGAAGGTGAGAAATGAGTACAACACACACACAGAGTACAATACGTTTAAAATCGCTTTAGGTATATGGCATAGAAGCATGCACCAAAATATTAAGAGGATTATTTGCAGCAGGTGGTGGTATCGGCGATATTTCTTTTTGTTTAGTGTAAGGCTGCTTGATTTAATAAATAAAAATGCAAAACAATTATTCGTTATGTATCTGAAATTCAAACTTAATTCGACTCCCCAATTTTATCTGGATATCCTACTTTAGTGCTTTCCAATTTCTTCCAAATTGACTACAATGAACTGTATTGATTTAGAACTTAGGCGAAAAATGTAAAATTAGAAAATGTAAAGTAAAATGAGGCTGTGTAATTCGTAACCATGATTACCATTTCTTTTTTAATCCGGAAGTTACCCTCTAAGGTAACTTAAGGGATAAATTATTAGCAGCCATAACATTACGGGGAGCTGTGGAACGAATCAGACCTGGTTTGAAGGCTGAGCTCATCTGCTTCGGGGCCAAACAACCTTAAGCAGGACAGTTAATCTCTCCTGGTCTAAATTTATTTCTCTTTTAAATGGAAAAAAAAGAACCTGCCTTACTGATTGAGGTTCATGCAACAGGAACGCCCTTTGTGAACCCTAAAGCGCTATGTAAGTCTTTACAGTTTATGAGCAATAGCAAAAGCCTAGGTTTGTAGCATATTGGAGGGCCGCTCTCCAACGGCGAGAGTAAACTAGTCTTTCCTGGAACTCCGACACTTTCACGGCGCCCCCGGACTCTTCCTACCCCTCTCAGCGGGGCTCTTCACAGAGATAAACCAGCTGGAGGAGTTTCCGGTTGGCTCTGCGCCCCGCCCCTCGCCCCAAATCCTTGCTGGTTACATTCTGAAATCCGCCGGGCTCTAGGACCCATACGGGATGATCCGCCGCTTGGCTAGCTGCCCGGCTCGACCGGGCTGTAAATTCCATCGTTGCAGCGTCAGTGGCTTGAGGGCTGCCTGAAGGACAGCAGGAAAAGCCAATGGGAGGCCGCACTTCCCAGGCGGCAGCGTTATAAGAGCCTGTCAGGGTTACATTTGGGCTTAACTCTTTAAAGGTGGGTTCGGGCCCCGTGAGAAAGTAGTAGTAAATGTGCCACGTCTTCTAACAAGGGGAAGTCCTGAACTTGCCTGAGGCCGTTATCCCTAAGCCTTGAACTAAGCTCTTAAATTTATGAAATTGAGGGCCCTTTCGCTGCTTTTGTAGGGACTTCTTTCCTGTTTCAGCAACATGAGGCTCTTCTTGTGGAACACGGTCTTGACGCTGTTCGTCACTTCTTTGATTGGGGCTCTGATCCCTGAACCAGAAGTGAAAATTGAAGTTCTCCAGAAACCATTCATCTGCCATCGCAAGACCAAAGGAGGGGATTTGATGTTGGTGCACTATGAAGGCTACTTAGAAAAGGACGGCTCCTTGTTTCACTCCACGTAAGTAATTATGCCCCGTAAGTAAAACAGTAATCAAGAATCCACCCACTTTTGCCAGCTCTCCAGCAGGAAAGGTGGCTTGTACCTGGTTTTACCTCTTTTACAAACCGAAATATCTTACTTCTTTCTTTGGGGAAGGAAATTGTTTAAAGCCAGTTTTATATAGTGAGCGAGGCCTCGGAAGGTGTCATTGGAAACGTGGTCTGGAAAAGGCTGTTAATTTTTTTTATTATAAAAATTAGAATTGGAATCTTTGAAACATTGCAGAAATATATTCGAGTGTATAATTGGGCAATAAGTAGAAAAAGCTCAAAAGAATTCTCATATCTCAAACTCCATTTCTTAGGGAAAATGACTTGATTCCCTTTTTAACGTGGTGTAGGCGATGTTCACCTAAAACTTTTCATAGCGACTTCAAAAGCAAACTACGCAATCAGTTATTTGCCTGTTGAAGGATATACTGATGCTGTTTCACTGACCTACTTAACTTTTGTTCTGACAGATGATATTTTGGTCAAGGCACGGGATCATGATTTCAGGCATTTGCTTCTTTCTAGAAAGGCTTTATTGATGAGGTGGGTGTGGTTGTGGAAGTTTAGGTGAAGGATTTTCAGATGGTTACACTATCGTTTCTGTTCTATAAACAAAGAAATTGCAACATGGAAATGGTTTACAAGCCTAATGATTTCCAATTAGGCATTGGTTCCATTCATTCCATTATGAAAGTATTTAGTGAGCATTTCCTTTATGTTAAGCCATATGCTTGGTGCTAGGGAGATTCAGAAATTTTGGCTTCTAATCATACTCATCTATCCATTCATCTGTCTATCTATCAAACTCTTATTGGATGGTCACAAGTCAGGCCCTGGAGACACAAAGATGGCTAGGAGCAGGTTCTTGTCCTCTAACAGTACACCATCTGCAGGTGGGAGGAAGACGAGTAAATATTGCAGTGATACAAAGTACAGAATATTCAAAGTGCTAGCAAAGCGTAGCTGGGCCTGGAAGTAGTTATGCTCCATGGGGTGAGGAAAGGGAAAGACTTCCCAGAGACCATAATTGAAATGCACCTTGTAAGATGGGTGGAGGTTTCCAGGGGGAAAATAGTGGAGGAAGGATTTTGCAGGTACAGGGAATGACATGAATTAAAACAGTGAAGCTTCATAGCCCATCCTAGACCTAGTTTTCTAATAACTGCCTTTACTGGGCATTCAGACCTGGTCTGCCTTGAGGGTTGGGGGAATGAATGGCACTCTCCTTTGAACTGTTAGCCCTGGGAAAAAAGTTCCAGAAAGATGGCTTGCCTTAGAATTCTCAACAGCACTTTCTTCTTGTCAACTAGGTGAATGCCACAGGGGACATTAAATGATGTGATTTGCATTTTGATATTCAGTTACAGTCTTATTTTTAGTCTGATCTCTTTTAGACTGAGCCCGGTTTCTTTCAGATCTCTGAACCAAAAACCTGTTCTGACTTTGATGGTAGCCATGGAATATTATTTAGCAGTTTGCTGCTAAGTTCTAATATCTGATGAGGGAACTATTATCATGCAGCCTCCATGTAAATGGTCAGAAGCTGCTAATTGTAAGCATCATGAAGACATACCATCAAATGATCAGTCAGTAGGCACATTTGCCATCTCTAGAACCATGGTCTACGGGGTAAATTGTTTAACCCTAACAAGAAATGTGCTAAAATTGTAGTCAGTGATGAGTAGTAGAATGTTTCCTCCTTCTTTTTTCTTTTCTAGCCTTCCCAAATTTTCTACAGTTGTCATTTTGTTACTTTGATCATTGGGGAAAATTACAGGAAAAACTGGCATTATCTAGATTTAGTAACCATGATACTCACGAAGCCTAGTACAGTGACTTCTTTTTCTCACCTACAAGATATCCTTGAATAGAATATTTTTCTTATTGCACTGAAAGGGAGCTAAGTAGGGATCAGGCCTTACCCAGCCCTCAAGCCTCCCTGTAAGTAAGTACTTAGGCAGGTTGATTTTCCTGGGTTAGACTGTCTTCAGCTCATGAGCCAGGACATTCTGTTTCCCTCCTCCTCAGTTGAAATGGTTCAGCTGTGTCCCCACCCAACTCTCATCTTAAATTGTAGCTCCCATAATCCCCACCTATTGTGGGAGGGGCCTGGTAGGAGGTAATTGAATCATGGGGGCAGGTTTTCCCCATGCTGTTCTTGTGATAGTAAGTCTTACAAGATCTGATGGTTTTATAAAAGGCAGTTCCTCTGCACATTCATTCTTGTCTGCTACCATGTAAAATGTGCCTTTGCTCCTCCTTTGCCTTCCGCCATGATTGTGAGGCCTCCCCAGCCATGTGGAACTGCAAGTCCATTAAACCTCCTTTTATTTATAAGTTACCCAGTCTTTAGGATTCTTCACAGCAATATAAAAATGGACTAACACACGAGTCCTTGAGGGGCCACTCTTCCAGACTTTCCTATATAGCCCCATTGTAGACCCCTGAGGAGGGAACAAGGCTGGGGACTGAGTGGGGATTTAGAGATGAAAGCAGCCTTTTCTACCTGATAGAGCCATCAGCAGGCCATAGCTAAGGAAAGTCTGTAGGCAGGATATAAGACACTGTGCTTCTGACTCTCCATATCTGTGTGTATATGGACCCACATGTGTTGGCAGTAAATTCCCCTTACCCTTTAAATCTCCTTCCCAAACTCAGCCATTTTCCATTATTTTCTGCCTATTCTACAACCTAGTGGCCTGCCTGGGACAACATAACTTTGTGGTTAAGACCTTGAACTTTGGAGTTAGATTTAAAGACTAGAACACTTAACCTGTGTTTCCTCATCTGAGATTTAAAGACTAGAACACTTAACCTGTGTTTCCTCATCTGTACAACAGGGTAATAATGGTACCTACATTATAGGCTTACTGTAAGGGTTAAGAGGGAAAAAAATTAGAATGATTCCTGGTATACAACAAATGTTCAAACGGTTGTTAAGTGTTTTTATTATTTCCTCTGTCTTTCTCAAGCCCTGTCAAGTATGTGAAATTTGCATCAAGAAAGATGGGCAGCAAATTGAATTCCTATAAACTTGACTTGGAGGTGTGTGTATTTGTGCAAATACAGAATAGCTGTTATTATTAATTTTTAAACTGATAAACTTAACCACTTATTGGTGGAAAAATGCACTAAAGAAATTTTTTTAGAGTTAATAAAGAGTTATAATGTATTTTCTTTTTATCATAGTCATAAACATAACAATGGTCAGCCCATTTGGTTTACCCTGGGCATCCTGGAGGCTCTCAAAGGTTGGGACCAGGGCTTAAAAGGAATGTGTGTAGGAGAGAAGAGAAAGCTCATCATTCCTCCAGCCCTGGGATATGGAAAAGAAGGAAAAGGTAATAGCACTTCTATTCTTACGATAGCGCTAGAGTTGTTCTCTGGATTAGGAGACAGAAGTTAGAGTCCCTACAATTTTTTTTTTTTTCCTAGCAGTTAACAGGGGGCATGTATTCCTTTAGCAACTGTCTTGATTATCAATTGAAATGGCCAGTTTAATGGCCAGGTACGGTGGCTCAGGCCTGTAATCCCAGCATTTTGAGAGACCAAGACAGGTGGATCTTCTGAGATTGGGAGTTTGAGACCATCCTGACCAACATGGAGAAATTCCATCTCTACTAAAAATATAAAATTGGCCAGGCATGGTAGTTCATGCCTGTAATCCCAGCTACTCAAAAGGCTGAGGCAGGAGAATCACCCGGGAGGTGGAGGTTGTGGTGAGCCGAGATTGAGCCATTGCACTCCAGCCTGGGCAACAGAGCAAGACTCCATCTCAAAGAAAAAAAAAAAAAGGAAAAAGAAAAAGAAAGAAATGGCAAGTTTAAGGCCATAATATCTAAATGGGCAACGATGCTAACAATGAAAAAAGAACATGGAGGTCTGTTAATACTGTTCACCAATATGGTGGGTTGTTTTAATTGTGATAAAATATACAGAAAAATTTTCATTTGAACCATATTTAAGTACGCAATTCAGTGGCATTAAATACATCACCACTATCCATCTTCAGAACGTTCTCATCCTCCCAAACTGAAACTCACCAATTTATTTTAACAATGCAGAAAGTTCATTCCCTTAACCTAAGAGTTTGGACAAGTTGAACATTTGAAATATAGATTATTAAAGCACTGAATGCATTTCAGATGTGGATTGTATGAGCTGAACTTCACAAATATTACGTCTCCCACAGCAAACTTACTGGGAGTTCTTTTCATTCCCACTTTAAAATTTATTTATAAAGTTTTAATAATGTATTTTAAAAAATCATAGAGTGACATGAAATGAATTTAATTTTCCGTGTGTCACAAAGCAGAGAAGCAAGCTGGCTACCTTGTCCAGACAGATTTTGTACTAGTTTTTCAGGGCAGAGATATACACTGGTATTCAAGTGAGAACCCCTGTGACTTTCCAAAGAGCTGCTTGGTGATATGTATCAGGAGGCCAGGCATGGTGGCTCATGCCTGTAATCCCAGCACTTTGGGAGGCCAAGGAGGGTGGATCACCTGAGGTCAGGAATTCGAGACCAGTCTGGCCAACATGGTGAAACCTTATCTCTACTAAAAATACAAAATTAGCTGAATGTGGTGGTATATGCCTATAATCCCAGTTACTCAGGAGGCTGAGGCAGAAGAATTGCTTGAACCTGGGAGGCAGAGGTTGCAATGAGCCAAGATCATGCCACTGTACTACAGCCTGGGTGACAGAGAGAGACTCCATCTCAAAAAAGAAAAAAGAAAAAAAAAAGATACTTGAAGATGTCTATATGCATTTATCCTATAATTCCCTTATTAGAATCTAACCTAAGGGAATAATTAGATATCAGGAAAAAGATTTGTGAACAGGGATGTCCATCACCGCATTGTTTCTAATAGCAAAGAAATGTAACTGTCCTAAGTGGTATAATGATAAGAATTTAGCTAAATAAAATATAGCCCAGTTGTTTAAAATGGCATTTCCAAAGATTTTAAAAATTATATCCAAAAATTTTATATATATAATATATAAAAATAGAAAATAAACCTATTGTATATATAATATGATAGCAAATATAGGAAAAAGTACATATACATAGAAAGTGAATCACAAGGAAATAAATAAGAATGTTAACAATAGACTGTGATACTGGGAATCATATTTATTTCTGGTTTTATCATCTGAGTATCTGCATGTATTACTTATGTAATGAAGAAAAAAATGTTTAAGTAGTCATCAGAACCAGACAGACAACCACTCTGATATAGTGTAAATATAGACTTCATAGCATCCTGAAATCTAAGGTTAATCACTGATAAAGTGAGGGGTCAGAATTTCCAGCCCATTTCCTGAGAAAGAAAATAGAGGCCATATGGGAAGCATTATATATTCCAAAATGGAACTAGCTATACAAATCTTGTTTGTAGGATAAGATTTACTAACCAAATTCATTCTTATTTTAGTTATAATCCTCATTAGAGGTCAGGTGCAGTGGCTCACACCTGTAATCAATCCCAGCACTGTGGGAGATAGGCAGGTGGATCACGAGATCAGGAGATCGAGACCATCCTGACCAATATGGTGAAACCCTGTCTCTAGTAAAAATACAAAAAAATTACTTGGGCATGGTGGCACACACCTGTAGTCCCAGCTACTCGGGAAGCTGAGGCAGGAGAATTGCTTGAACCTGGGAGGTGGAGGTTGCAGTGAGCTGCTGCACTCTAGCCTGGTGGCAGAGTGAAACTCCATCTCAAAAAAAAAAAAAAAATTCTGTAGAGAAGAAAACCAAGTATCTAGAAAATTTTTTCTGATGCTGGGAATTTTTTCATTGTATCTTTATTGTCTCACCTTTAATATTTATATACAGTAGTCCCTCCCTTACCTGTGGTTTGACTTTCTACAGTTTTAGTTACTTGTGGTCAACTGCAGTCTGAAAGTATTAAGGTATTTTGAGAATGAGAGATCACATTCACATAACTTTTATTATGATATGTTGTAATTATTCTATTTTATTATTTTTAATCTTTTAGTGTGCCTATTTTATAAATTAAACTTTATCACAGATATGCATGTATAGGAAAAAGCATTGTTCATATAGTATTTGGTACTATACATGGTTTCAGGCATCCAATGGGGTTCTTGGGAGATACCCAAGGGGGGACTACTGTACATGGTATTAGTCCATTACTCTTTTTCATACTATATTTAACTCAAATTTACTTCACAGTAAGTAGAGATCTAAATTTGAGTCATCTCCTCAAACTGAATGCCATGAAACTAATTCTTCTAATCTGTATTTAACACTAATTTTGTAGTCTTTTAGTACATGCTTGCATGCCTCTTTTGGAAAGATACAAGTTTTATCAACAACCTAGTGCATGTCGCATCTCTGTCTAGATCTGGAATGGTAAGCATCAACACACTTTGTAAGTCTTCTCTTTGAAACTTATGAATGTTCTTTCATGGAAATATGTGGGATGGGGGAGGATGACTAAGAAATACTTAACTTGTTTACCCAGACCTGTATGTTAAATATAGTTATTAAAAAAGCAAGTATAAAAAAATTGTCCATAGTCCACAGATAGGTGTTTTTGTTTGTTTGTTTTAGGTTCCTGGGACTTTAACAAAGCCCTTTTCACTTTTAAAGATTTTTAATCTCCCTTCTCAGAAATTCATTTTAATTTCTCCCCTCCCTTGAAATGTCTTCAACATATATAAAATGTTCTATGTCAGAGGTAGCGCTGCCTAACTTTTTGAAATTGTTAAACCTTCCTGGATTATTTTTAAAGCCTGTAAGAAAATCATACCTCAATAACATGATTTGAGAGTCAAACTATTTGTGAAGCTTAATGCTAAGTATTTTGCATGGATTTTTCTCCCTTTATCCTTCCAACAGACTCTTGAGGTAGGAAATTTATTGTCTGCATTTCATAGATGAGGAAATTGAGGTGCAGAGATGGGCAAATGTAAACTTCAGTCCCAGACAGTGTGATACCAGAGCTCATTCAATTATGTGGGTAGAAATGCCTTCCAGTGGTAGAAATGGCAATACTACATGGAGTTCTAGGTCAGGACTTTCTGACTGAAAAGTTACTCTACGACTTGTAATATACTTAACTCTAAATTTTATAAAACCCTTTAAGTCCTTCTTGACATATAATATGTAATATATTAATTATATTAGAAATTTAATACCCAAGCCATTAGATACATCTCTGTGTATGTATATGTGTTGCATGTGTGTATACATATATTTATATTTTGATTGCTAAGCCAAAGATAGAATGCTTTTGGTCTACTAGTTTATATTATTTCTTCTTTTACTCTATTTTATTTGAATAAAATATAATATACATAATTTTCATCATATATGACAATCTTAGGAAGGCTCTTTAATGCAGTTAAAAAAATGCTTTGTCCATTACCATAAATTTTCTATTATTAAAACTTTGGATCTTTTAAAACTATCTGCCTTCTCTCCTCATGTCAGGTAAAATTCCCCCAGAAAGTACACTGATATTTAATATTGATCTCCTGGAGATTCGAAATGGACCAAGATCCCATGAATCATTCCAAGAAATGGATCTTAACGATGACTGGAAACTCTCTAAAGATGAGGTGACCTTTCCTTCTTCCTACTCCCCTTTCTACTTTTTTTTGTGTTGTTGTTTGGGGTTTTTTTGGTATATTTGTTTGTTTCTGTTTTGTAACTCACTTTTAAAATAAATATATATATTTAAAATTGTATTTAGGTAACATAATTTTCTTAAAATAGTGATGCTTTGAAATTGGATTTTTTCATAGTAAATTATTGTTTTGGAGAGAAATATATTAAGACTTAAAAAGCACCATTCAATCTTTTGCTTTCTTCTTCCCAATGCTTATGGTCCACTGTATCTTATCCTTACCCTTGGGTCTCTGAAAGAACCATTTTGCCAAGACAGTTTCTATCTGGAGTTACTGTATAAGAAGCTAGCTGTCCTGAGAAATATCTCATGTGGACAGTTTCTGTTAAAACTGTAGACTGGCTGTTAAATACATCTTGTAGTACTTTCCTAGCAATTAACAGCAAGCAACTTACATGCTCAGTTTTGTTCCGGTTGCCCCAGAGAAAGGAGACTCCAGCCTGGGTTTTCAACAGCAGGGGACCTCCAGCTCCATCAAAGTCTGAGCCTTTGGGGAAAGAAAAAGGAAGAAGAGGCTTCTCCTTATAATCAGGCTTTCACAGCCATTGCTACACATATGTCTTAGTCTGGATGCTGTGAGGAAAGAAGTAGAGGTAGATATTTATCCCTATGTTTTTTATCTTCTCACACTCCATTCTGTCCTGGCTGGTCAGATATCCAGTCCCTTTCTATACTTTGATCAATTTCATTCTACTGTCCAGGAAATGATTAAGTCTTGGATAAGCCAAATGGTTATGAACCAGGGGGTCATGATCCACAGCCACTAAATTTATAACACCTCATAGTGTCACCAGTCGTATGCCTTTTTCTTCCATCAGAGATAAATTTTAATTCTCTTTTATTAAATAATTTTGAATATACAACACAGTCATATGGCTTAAAACAAAAAGGTATTTTATTACTTGTTTTTATTTTAATTTTTTTTCCTGAGACAGTCTTGTTCTGTTGCCCAGTGCAGTGGTGCAATCTCGGCTCACTGCAACCTACGCCTCCTAGGTTCAAGCAATTATTCTGTCTCAGCCTCCCAAGTAGCTGCACCATCATGCCGGCTAATTTTTGTTTTGTTTTGTTTTGTTTTGTTTTGAGACGGAGTTTCACTCTTGTTACCCAAGCTGGAGTGCAATGGCACGATCTCGGCTCACCGCAACCTCCGTCTCCTGGGTTCAAGCAATTCTCCTGCCTCAGCCTCCCAAGTAGCTGGGACTACAGGTGTGCACCACCATGCCCAGCTAATTTTTTTTTGTACTTTTAGTAGAGATGGGGTTTCACCATGTTGACCAGGATGGTCTCCATCTCTTGACCTCGTGATCCACCTGTCTCGGCCTCCCAAAGTGCTGGGATTATAGGCGTGAGCCACCGCGCCCGGCCAATTTTTGTATTTTTAATAGAGATGGGGTTTCACCATGTTGGCCAAACTGGTCTCGACCTCCTGGTCTTGTGATCCGCTTGCCTTGGCCTCCCAAAGTGCTGGGATTACAGGCGTGAACCACCACACCTGGCAAAAAGGTATTTATTTACAAGTCTTGGCTGGGCAAGGTGGCTAACACTTGTAATCCTAGCATTTTGGAAGGCTTAGGTGGGAGGATTGCTTGATGCCAAGAGTTCAAGACCAACCTCGCCAACATAGCAAGACCTTGTCTCTATTACTTACATAATTTTAAAAGTCTTTCTTCTACTCATATCCTCTTCTGTTAGCCCCACATCCAGTTTTATTAATTACTTTATTTCTTTCTGTTTTTTTGTTTCTTTGTTTTTGCTTATTTTTTGTTGTTGTTGTTGAGATGAGATCTTGCTACGTACAGGTATGCACCACTGCACCCAGCTCAGTTTTATAGTTTTATTTGTTTCTTTTCTTTTTCTTTTTCTTTCTTTTTCTTTTTTTTTTGAGACAAAGTCTCACTCTGTTGCTCAGGTTGGAGTACAGTGGAGCAATATTGGCCCATTGTAGCCTCCGCCCACTGCAGCCTCCACCTCCTGGGCTCAAGCAATTCTCCTGCCTCAGCCTCCTGAGTAGCTGTGACTACAGGTGCGTGCCACCATACCCAGCTAATTTTTGAATTTTTAGTAGAGACGGGGTTTCACCATGTTGGCCAGGATGGTCTTGATCTCCTGACCTCATGATCTGCCTGTCTCAGCCTCCCAAAGTGCTGGGATTATAGGTGTGAGCCACTGCAGCCGGCCAGTTTTATTAGTTTCTAATCAGTGTTTCTTTCTACAAATCCAAATACATACTTTTATTTTCCCCTTTCTTACACAAAAGGTAGCAAACTATACATACTATTTTGTCATTTTGCTTTATTCAAACAATATATCCTAGAAATAACATTCTACATTAATCCATAGTTTCATCATCTCTCCCCCATCCCTTTTTTTTAACAACTAGATTAAATCACTTTGACTTAAAAATAATATATACTATATGTATACTTCTTGGAAGCTGGGGGAAAGAGGATTTGAAATTGCTGGTCTAAACAGAAGGAAGAGAGATGATATGATTAAAAATGAAAATATAGGCTGATTTGCATTTTGGTGAATCTTGTGGGAAATTGAAAACAATACTTATGTTTTTAAACATATGAATGAAATGAAAGTGGAGGCCAGGCATGGTGGCTCACGTCTGTAATCTCAGTACTTGGGGAGGCCAAGGCAGGCGGATCTTCTGAGGTTAGGAGGAGTTCGAGACCAGCCTGGCCAAGATGGTGAATATATGACATAGTACTAATGTCTACTACTAAAAGTAAGAAAATTAGCCAGGCATGGTGGCAGGGGCCTGTAGTCTCAGCTACTAGGAAGGCTGAGGCAGGTGAGTCGCTTTAACCTGGGAGGCAGAGGTTGCAGTTAGCTGAGATCCCACCACTGCACTTCAGCCTGGGCGACAGAGCTAGACTCTATCACAAAAAAAAAAAAAAAAAAAAAAAAAAAGAAGAAGAAGAAGAAGAGGAAGAGGAAGAAGAACATAAAATGAAAATGGAAAATTGTAGTCTAGGTACTTATCAGGCCTGACTTGCTGAGACTGGAAGGTTGTGACTAGACTCAGTCAGTGTGGCATGATCATAACCAAACTCAGAAGGCCCACTACTTGCAGACATTTATTCAAGTCAAAGATGCCACTATTTAATCTAGTTTTAAAAGAAGTGTCCATGGGGTGCAGTGGCTCATGCTTCTAATTTCAGCACTTTGGGAGGCCAAGGTGGTTGGATTGCTTGAGCCCAGGAGTTCAAGACCAGCCTGGGCAACATGGCGAAACCCCCTCTCTACAAAAAATATAAAAGTTATTCAGATGTGGTGGTGCATGCCTATAGTCCCAGACACCTGGGGGGCTGAGGTGGAAGGATTGCTTGAGCCTGGGAGGCAGAGGTTGCAATGGGCCGAGATAGTGCCACTGCACTCCAGCCTGGGTGACGGATCAAGATTCTGTCTAAAAAAAAAAAAAAAAGAGAGAGAGAAGAGAAACGTCTGTAATTTAGATTCAGATTAAGAACAAGTAGTATGCTCTCATTGGGTATTTTCCAATAATTTAAGCCTTATGTAAGAATTGTGTACATGACATAAACTTTATCTTTGCCTTTGAGCAATATATATATATATATATATACACACACACACACACACAGCAAGAGAAAGCAGTATATATATAATATATATAATGTGTGTGTATGTATATGTGTGTATATATACATTAATATATATTAATGTATATATACATCTATATATACCTATATATGTATATATGTGTGTGTGTGTGTGTATATATATATATATACACACACATATATAGATATATAGATATATATATATAGAGAGAGAGAGACTCACTCTGTTGCCCAGGCTGGAGTACAGCAAGCAGCACAATCTCGTTTCAGTGCAACATCTGCCTCCCCAGTTCAAGCTGTTCAACTGCCTCAGCCTCCTGAGTAGCTGGGATTGCAGGACACGCCACCATGCCTGGCTAACTTTTTTCCCTGTTTTAGTGGAGACGGGGTTTCATTATGTTGGCCAGGCTGGTCTCCAACTCCTGACCTCAAGTGATCTTCCCACCTAGACTTCCAAAAAGTTGGGATAACAGGCCTGAGCCGCCACACTCAGCCCTGCCCTTGAGCAATATTTTGTGTCTCCACTGTAGCAGTTTAGTAACAGTTTTTTTAAGGGAAAAAATTTCTTGTAATTTTTAAACTATCATTAGTACTATGTCATAAAATGGTTGTTTAGAAGTTAGTGTATTTAGTTAAATGAACTACTAGTCCATGTCTGCGATACTGATTGGCTCAGTGTAGGTATCTTATAAATCCGAGTTATTAATGAGATCTGTTATTTTGTAGGTTAAAGCATATTTAAAGAAGGAGTTTGAAAAACATGGTGCGGTGGTAAATGAAAGTCATCATGATGTTTTGGTAGAAGATATTTTTGATAAAGAAGATGAAGACAAAGATGGGTTTATATCTGCCAGAGAATTTACATATAAACATGATGAGTTATAGAGACACATCTACCCATTTAATATAGCATTCATCTTTAAAGAGAGGGCAGTCATCTTTAAAGAACATTTTATTTTTTAACAATGTTCTTTCTTGCTTTGTTTTTTTTATTTTTATCTATTTTTTCTGACCCCTATGTAAAGAACCCCTTAGGGTTTCTAACTATCCATTTCTTTCTGGTAAGTTATTGGGAAGAAAAATCTAATTTGTCTTTGAATAGAAGACTTCTGGACCATTTTTCACTTTCACAGATAGGAAGCTTTGTTTTACTTTCTTACTTGTAAATTTAAAATATTGCAACTGGGAGTATACCAAGACATGAGACCAGGTTATAGCACAAATTAGCACACTATATTTCAGTTTTCCTCTATTTTCTCCAAGTTAGAGATCAACATTTGAAAAGCCTTTTGCAATAGCCCAAGGCTTGCTATTTTCATGTTATAATGAAATAATTTGTCTGTAACAACTAGCTCTGAGTCTCTGCTTGAGGACCAGAGGAAAATGGTGGTTGGACTTGATTTGTTAATGGCTAGTAAGCCTTTTTTTACTAAGGAGATGTGCAATGCCAAAGTTAGAAACAAGGTTAATAACTTATATAAATATGTATGCATTGAAACATTCTACCTAGGACTTAAGCAGATGAAGTTTGGCTCCTAGTGACTAGTGGCCTATTATGATAAATAGGACAAATCATTTATGTGTGACTTTCTTTGTAATAAAATGTATCAATATGTTATAAATGAGGTAGAGAGTTATATTTATATTCAATGTTTACTTCTTAAGGCTAGCAGATTATCCTTCCTGGTTCTTTAATGGGTAGTCTATAGTATATTATACTACAATAACATTGTATCACAAGATAAATTAGTAAACCAGTCTACATTTTCCCATTTCTGTCTCATCAAAAACTGAAGTGGGCTGGGCGTGGCAGCTCATGCCTGTAATCCCAGCACTTTGGAAGGCCAAGGAGGGGGGATCACTTGAGGTCAGGAATTTGAGACCCACCTGGCCAACATGGTGAAACCCCATCTCTACTAAAAATAAAAAAATTAGCCAGGCATGGTGGTGCACACCTGTAGTCCCAGCTACTACTTGAGAGGCTGAGAAGACAGCACCCACAAGGCAGATGTTGCAGTGAGCTGAGATCATGCCACTGTACTCCAATAAGCGTGTCAGAGGAAGATTCCATCTCAAAAAAAAAAAAAAGGAAGGGGATCTACAGCAGCTACTATTGAATACCTATCCTGGGTTTAAAAAAAGAAAAAAATATATAATTTTATTTTAAATTGGCTTTTATCTTTAATTCTTTTTTTTAAAAAGTTAATCAAATCTTCATTTTCTAAGAACAGCCCTTTATAATGTACAAAATGATATTAAGGGCATTATTATCTTTGATTTTCATGGCTCTGAGGTCATGAAACAAGCTGGTGGAGCTTATTATGCCTAATTTATAAATGAGGAAATTATCATTCAAAAAGATTGATTGTTATGCCCAGGGTCAGCACTAACCTGTAGAACCAGTATTCAGTCCCCAAGTTCAGCGTCTTCTACTGCCCTCTACTAATAAAAAAGAGAAAATTTTCTTGGGCCTAATTCTGTCTTCATCTGTTGTTTATCTTTGAGTCTTTGTTCTCTGAATATGGTTTTCTGCCTGTTTCTGGCTCATTAGAATTCTCACTATGATATAGAAATGGCTCCAGTTTCATAGCATAATCTTGTAGTTAGCTCTGAATTGCCTCAAAAACCCTGAACAATGAAGGGTTCATGGTGTGTTTTACTTCTTTTATTTCTATTTATCCTTGTTTGTTGTTTTAAAAGAGTTATGAACAAGTATTACATCATATGTAGACCACTTTCACTGATTGATTATATATTGACATTTTCCTCACTAAAACATAAAGTTCTTAGGAAGACTATACTGTAACACCATTCTCCAACAAAATCAGCTGTATGTTGAAAAGTATTAAGTCACTGCTAATGTTTTAAGCCCTCATACAGAGAGCCTTATGATCTATGATGGGAGGAGGGAAAGTAGTTTGTCCTATGATGCTACTCTGTATTAACATTACTGATGCTATCTATAGTAGGGCAAGAAAAGCAAAAAGAGTTTTGATTATTCAGACAGCATTTTTTTTTTTTTTTTTTTTTTTTTTTTTTTTGGGGGTTTTCTCTTT